GGGCCGAGCAACCTACAGACACACTCCAACGCCCACCAAGAAAGTACTCCGGCTCCACGAGGGGCTCACTAAGCGGGAGAGCGCGCTGCTGGTGCAGCTGCGGACAGAGAAGATCGGACTCAACGACTTTCTCTTCGCCCGAAGAGTGCCAGACGTCACCAGCCCGCGCTGCGACTGCGGAGCGAGACGACAGACGGTCGCACATATCCTTCTCCACTGCAGCAAGCACAGGCATCTCCGGGACCGTATCTTCGCCAACCTGTCCGGACGAGACAACATCCGGACCATCCTAGGCACGCCACAGCTAGCCACCAAAGCCATCGAGTATGTAGAGCAGACGCAGATCCTTGGGCAAAATGGGGATCGCAGGCGCGAAGACGATAGCTGAGCGCTGGGGGGAGACTGAAGGTATTGCAGACGCAGAACACGAGGCAACCGTGCCTCTACGAGCCTAGAAGTACAGTGTTCAGTTAGTAGAGCCATTATCTAGATGAGCGGACAGGCAAATGTAGATAGTGGTGGGAGGGAAACGGCAGGCCTCTGGGGACAGATGGTTCTTTGGAATGAAGTGGGGCGGCGCGGATCAACGTCCGCACCGCGTCGGCTGTCTGCCAAGCCTGTCAGCCGGGCATAGCTGCTTTTCGCGGCTGCAACCGTGTAGGATCTAATCAAATCAAATCAATCAAATCAATCAATCATAGCTGCGGACTTTGCGGCTGAAACCGAGTAGGAATTAACCAACTAGCCAACTAACAGACGAAGACTTTGGTCTCCTGTAATTCCGCCATAGTGCTTACGATGTAAAGAACCACGTTCCCATTCAAGTATGATTTAGTCTCCTTCGTTTCATTACGTGAGTGTAGCCTTGTCAAGTCTTCTTAAGACCGACACAGTGGGCATACGATACCCAAGGCACAGCCAAGTACGAGCGAGGTGCAGATGCAGTTCATCGATTCCTTCAATGCTTGACCTGTAGCGTTCCGATCGTGCAATGACAGGCAGCACGAGGGTGTTGACGCTTACCTAGTCAGACTACATGGTCAGTACTTGTCTACTGTGGCACGCCTCGCACCTGGTGCTGGCGGTCATCACATGTGGCGCATCATAGCGTGTTACGCTGGTAACGTTATTGCGATTACATTACCCGTTGGTAGCATATCGATTATGGTCATCTTAACACTACGTCGATGACCGCCAGCATTTTATCTACATGGCTAACCTGTCAACGCAGGCATCGTTAGGCGTGGTTGGTAATGACTGGTGGATTCCATGCTCCATGATACACTTCGTGGCCGGTACCGTACACGATTCGTCCCGCGGCGCGCACTGTCTTGCTAAGCTTGTTAACCTGCGTGACTGACATTGAACGATGAGAAGAGCGTCAAGGCCGTCCTTTGCGACCCTGGTAGTTCTCGTTCACATGTGGCACAGTGATGTTGCTGCTCATTGTCGTTATTAGAGTTGTCATTCGGAACGTAGACACCCGGAGTCGCACGAACCGTTCGGCTTGCTGCGGGGTCAGCGAGACGAATCTCGGCATATCAAGATGCGTGATAAGCAGAGACTACTTGGAGCGAACAGCACTGCCACAGCCATAGTTTCGATAACAATTGCTTACCTCCATAAATACGGTCAGCAGTATTACCGTCGTGCCTATCTCTGACCACCTTACGCTACCATGTCAGCGATGGTAAATGTGTCAAAGTCAACCCCGATCGTCGTTATGCTAGCAGCTAGCATTATGCTATTCTCCTGCTTATCACCAAGGACATACATCATACTTTTAAAGTTGATCACTTAACAAGGCTGAATTCTCGACACAGCGGATAGTAAGTACTGTAATGTAGGCTGACACTGTAGTGCAGATTGTTGGCACTTGCTTTACAGATAGCCTTCTATTAGCATAAGCGTACTGTGGGTCAGTGACTATAAAGGTGTCGGTGCGACATGTTTGGAAACCTCGTCTGTGATTATACATCGCTACACTTAAGACTTATTTCTGGCGGGGATCTGCGATGCAACAGGCGACTAACCTTAGCTGCATCCTGGAGGACTACGACTGCTGTCCCTATCCTCCTATTTCAAGCTAGGTGTAACGGCTAGTAACTAGACAAACAACGTTCTTGTGCTGAACGGCTGAGCTGCAACGTGTTAGTAGCGCTAGTTGGCTACTATGTCTTTTGTTAAGACACTAGCGAGAAGGCATGTACTGCGCTAGCTAATATTAGGGAAAGCCTCGCGTGTTTAGTTCCGCGTCTAGTTCCGCATTTCTAGTAGTTCCGCGCTTAACTCTGCATCTACATCCTGCTCTGTCTAGACAGTGAGTATCCTGTGGCCTTCATTTTGCATAGAACTAACATGCTAGTACGGTCGGCGCCGCTTAGCGCCGAATTGTGCTCTTGAGGCCTAGGTCTGTAGTGTTTCTTAGGCTGCTTTACGAGGCATGAGAGCTTTATGGAGGCCCTTTGAGAGCCGAAGCCTATCTTCCTCGACAGCTATCTTGTATAGTTTATACATCTAAAAATCGTGGTATGCACACGGTCGCGTCGGCTGCGAGCGCGGATCATTATGGCCAAGCTAGGAGGTATCATCCTACGGGCTTGTACAATCTCTAGTAACTGCTGTTCCCTATAACGTTACCTCAACGATCTTTGCTGACCTCTCTTAGGGCAACTTAATACGCATATACGAATTATGGAATTAAGTTTTAGTGAACTACCCGGTTTTCCTAACCAGCATCCACACTTCCTGTGCAACAACTGTGTAGCTAACTTACACTCCGAAACTGCTAGCCCGTTCTTAACCTACTTATTGCAATTAGTGCTAACGCGTCGCACAGTCTTAGTGGTGCATTTGAACAAAGATCTCCTCCAGAAATCACTGACAATATCGAGGAGATTACTTGAGTCGCTCGAGTCGTTGGTAGCTTGCCCGTACCTTTACGATATTCTCTATGATCGTCTACTCTACGTAAGTCTCGATCCTAAAGAGCGAGCGGCTCGTTTGCCTTTATCAGCTCTATACCTATGCTTCAGCGCCCATTGCTAAAGAAAAGACTGCTCTTAAGAAAAAAACTGTCCTTTAGGTCAGCTCAAACGGTGGCACGAAAAAGCTCCATGACCGAATGCTAGGCGGGCTTCACAGTATCAATGTTCTACGACTGACTATAGTCATAGGTCAACGCCATGGTCCCTAGTCTTCCCCGTGCGCTTGTTATACTTGTTCACAATTAGAGTTGTAACAGGCTAGTCCTCCTCGAGCGCTATAGCTAAACAGGCACTTGAAGCCCCTTTTCCGGTCGCTTCTTCTGCTCTGAGCTTATCTACATGGCCGCCACCCTACGAGGTAAGAGTAAGTACCTTTGCCACCACTATTTGTACTAAATACTGATCAGGCCTCAGTTAACCCCGTTGTGTCTATAACCTTAACAAAATACCAATCACGACGACTCCGTCGTGCGTCGCTGCGTCGTGCTCCGGACTACGGTCTTGCTTCCGTTGTTGGGATACAGGTGACCATACTGATAGCAGTGCAGCGTACCCGAAATATCGATCAAGAGCGCTTATTGCTCTCTACCCAGGTGAGCGATCCATGAGGCTGTATATCTCTTTGCGGGACTGTGCTCAAGCAGAGCGTGGAGGCATTGACCTCGTTTTTGCAACTTGATTTCTGCTGATCCAAGCTTTACAGGGATCAGTTCTATTGTGTTTCAAACACAGACCCGACGAAACTTCCGCGACTATTGACAGTCAAGTAAGCGATCACTCCGTTTATTGCATGTAAGTATAGCGACGTTCAAAGGTCGATCGCGCCGTGGATTACCCTCAGAGCTTGCCAGAGTAGCCGCTTGCTGTTACGCTGACATTTTACGATCTAGAACACTCGCCGCCTAAACGTGTGCCACTCATTCACACTTCCCAAAGCGTCGATAAGCGGCTAAAACATGACTTGAAACTATCGTTCGATACCTCCAAGGTTGGAGTAGCGGGAAAGTCAGCCCAAACACTAGGCAATAGACATCTACGATCCTGTGAATGACAACCTTCGCCCTACAATCCTACCTCTGTCAAGCTAAATAAAGATCCTCGAGGTCCGCAAGGGACAGTAAGTCTTATTTTGGCCCCCGATGATCATTCGAAATACATCAAGGCTATGAGAATAAGCTTGAAGGCTGACCGACAAACCCTTATACCTCATTCGGATGACGCTGAGGCGCGTATCTACAATCCGTCGTGTTCCATGGAAGTGTGTGTCAGTGAGTCTCGCTAACGCCAATCAGCCTTTGTGCCCTCAAATCTTTTCAGCGCACAATCTATACTAGGGACGCACCAGCTAACGTTGAAGAAGTTGTAATCTGAATGGAGCTTCTGAGCTCGTGTAGCGCCTCAAGCAGCTCGCTAAGTGGTTTCAAGCGCGCTCCCACTCTGACCGTTATGGCTAAATCAGATAAGCCTTTCTGGTTTACGTTGCTCCGTGCTCCCAAGGCCCCCTGTTGTTTGATTTCTAGCCACTTATATCGCGTAGCGTATCGCGTGGCATATCGCGTCGTATGCCGCGTCGCATGTCGCGTCGCGTGTCCCGCAATATCACATATGCACCCTTCTTCACCATTTATCCTAGTCTTTACCACGGCTTCTTCTGTAGAAACTCAGGCGCGATGGGGCAGAACTATTTCGAAAACTCGTCGTTTACGTAGGCGAGCCCCATTGCTTCTTAGTCTGTCAACCCTGCGGTGTTGCCCTACCCCTTCACTAGTTTTCGCATTGGCCGTTGGTGGTCCGAGCTTTCGGTCGCCCAGACTTTTGGATGTTCGGCTCAGGCGCAAAGACTGTTGACAACCTCACTCTTCCTCATCATTATACCATACAACTTTCGCACTTCGTCTATTGGAGCAGCACTACTGTTGGCAACGCATCGATTCTCCCCGTTACTCTTGGACTACTTAGGGTCACACCTCCTGTGCTTTCTCAGCTGCATTGTTTCGTGCACGACCTACAGTCATGGCGCTCAGCATCATTAAGCAGCGCATCGCCTATTATGGCGGAGACGATCTGATCGCCGCACTGCCGGCCCACAATTTGATGAGTTGGGTACTTCATCCTGCAGCAACACCGCCGACAGCGCTTGTGATTGGTACCTACGACGGACGCGACATCCTTGCCTTCATGAAAAGCTTCGGCGGCAGCCCACGCAAGGTGCAATATTGCTTCAAGCCAGCCAATCGTCGGCTCAATGCATCCACAGCACAACTTCTTACGCTAGACGAGGTGGTGAAATTGCCACTCAATGTGCCGTTCAGGTACAGCGCCGACACCTCTGAGCCGGGGAAGAGCAACTTCGATATCGTCATTCAATGGTACTTCATGGGCAAAATCGAGCCCGAAATTGACTATGTCATGTATTGTCGGCGACTCTACAACGCACTGGAGAAAATTGATGCAGAGAAACGTGCTGAGAAGGAATCTGAAAGGCCAGAACCTGAAGAACCTAGGGGCGCGCAAGATCAACGTTCAGGTCACCGCGGCCATCCTGGTATAGAGGTAGGGATAACCGGATAGCTTGTTACCCCAGTAAAAAGCCCAGTAAAAAGCCCGTTCGTCAGCACGAGCGACAATGAGCATTCTGATCTGGACAAGCTGCACATTTACTTGGATTCACATGGCGCGCTTTACTTGCTGAAAAAACCTACCCGACCCAGACGATGTTCAGTTCGTGAACCAGGACTTGTTTCTCGATGCCCAGCCAAGAAAGCCCTTTATAGGCCACCATAAAGAACACGGCAACGACATCTATGCGTATATGCGAAAGTTACGCAAATTCCACAAGATCGAATTCTATATCGAAGATAAGCGCGCACCTTCAAAGACAGCCATCCGCTCTGAAGACGTCGCTAAACAGCGTATCCTACACCCATTTGACAAAACCTTCCCAAAAGGTACTCACACCATCGGCCAAGACGAGAAAGCCCGACTCACACTTATGGTAAAGTGGTACTTCATTGCAGTCGGAATAGCAAAGGATTGTGTGCTCAGAGAAACGAAGGCTTATCCTGAGCGCTTGCGGAGCGCGCTTGAATACATTGCTAAGCGGATGGGGGCTGCATCCGTCAGAGCACCCCTCGTTGGGTACGAACGGCAAACTGAGCCTAAGACTACATCGGAAGAGGTAAGCCCAACCACCGATGAAAGTCATATCCAATTCACACTCGCTGAGGTTACACCCAATCCTTTATCATCGCCCATCACATCTAGAATCGCTCATCCGCACCCGTCAATTGCTCACGCGGAGCAACTGAATAATCCCTCCAACGCCGTCGATGCTCCAGAATTGCGAGGCACAAAACGCACCGCCGAGGATGCAGAGTTCGAAGACCTCGCCGAGATAGTCTCTCAAGTACTTACTGAGGATCGGAACCTCACGGATCAAATCAACGACATCGACAAGCAGATTGAGCAGTTGCAGACGCAAAGTAGGGACTTAGTAGAGAAGAGGAGGGATGCGAAGAGGAGGTTCATGAGGCAGACTTTGGCGATTGTATCGAGGACGGATCGATAGAGGTATTGAGACTAGTTTTGGAGTCTGCCGCTCAATACTCCTACGTCTGCTACGTCCCGTCACTCTGGACATACCGATGTAATTTAACGTCAGCTCAATCTCATGTCTGTTTGCTTTTCGAATACCAGTGCGGCGCTACTTTCACGGTCGAGAGCAGTTAGCAACATACTGGGAACGTCCGATTGGAATCGCATGGAATTCCGGCCGCCAGACAGTGAACATAATTTGCACGATGCCTTCAAGTCTTGCGCGTACAAGAGACTCACCCTCGGTACTGTTTACGATGAGCCACCACAACAACATGTGAAGGCCTTTGAGAGGCACTGCAAAGAGCTCGTTGCGAAGAAGTACAGGCTGCAGGACTGGAACCGGTATATTATACATGATTAGACTTACAGTTTTTCAGGTCACTGTATGTTCTTTTGTATTCGCGGCTGTCGATTCTCTCGCCTGATGGTGGTCTTAGGCGGATTACGTTAGCCCTGGTCTGCAATACCCAACGACGCTGAAAGCTACTATATCCGGGTCTAATGCTTATGGAGCGTAGAACCCGCTGAGCAAGCGCTTGCGTGGGATCATGGTCGGGCAGTGAGATGGAAGCGGCAATGGCATGAAAACGCTGCCACTGGTATAGGCTTCATGGTGGACACCATGGTCGCCGGCCATAAGCAACAGACAACAAAGCGTCCCAATGGCATGGGATCACAACACCTACAACCCCAACCGCCACCGGATCCAAAACAGTGGCCGTTCCCGCGTCTAGGGTAAAGCCCAATCTAGCTCTCGACAATTCGTGTTGTTGTTGCAGGTGCGGAGTTGCTTGAGTTCCTGGTTCGTGCCAGTTGTTTTTGTGCGGACGTGCGGCCAGGCATTCTTAAACAGCTAGCTGCCAAGAACGGTCTACTGAATCACTCTTGCCGAATCGCCGGCTACGGCACCGTTGCATCGCGCAACCAAGTTCCCTTCTTTATTTACAATACACACAGATTCCAATGCCCGAAGCACATTGCCAAGGGGCCGTGTAAGCCTTCCCATGTGGAAATAGGTCAGTGGGTGCTAAGATACTCACTAGTTATTCACAACCGCTCGCCGACTAGCTTAGACAGCTGTTGAAGCCCTGCTATACTATCCCATAGTTCGTGGTGGTTCAGGCGTGCTGCAGCAGTAGGACGCCGTACACCAAGAGCCTTGACGCATCCATTATATGTTCATCGACTACAATATAAGTCACATAGTTAAGAGCTACCTTCGATGCAGGGTTTGTTTCAAAGGCGCAGGCTTACGCCTCTTCATCCATATCTCTCTTCGACAAGACCTCCGCACAGCTCTCAAATGCTTTACCAACCGAAGCCTGAATTGCCTCTCTTACATTTCGGAACAGCTTGGTTCTCTAGGCGCCTACACGATGAAGTCATGTTTGCTGCTTTTCCTCGCAGGTTTCAGCTCAGTAGCTTTGGCCAACATCGGAACCGCAACGGGAGAAAGCCAAGCCCATGCCGCGGACAGCATACCAAACATCGGTGAAGTCAACATCGCCATTGACAACGCGCAGGTCGCGCAGGATCCCTTGACGATGGGTGCGATGCCCCCAAGCGATGTTGATGACGCGTCTCGCCATCGACGGGAGAAGCTACAGCTACTGAAAAGAATGGATAAGAAGAGCGGCAGATGGGGAACGAGCCATCCGCGTTACAGGCTCCTCGAAGCGTTGTGGGCGTATACCAAATATCGCGAAAGTCACATGGCTGAGCTGGACCGATGGCGAAGCTTGTACAAGAGCGTCGGCAAGCAGCAGAAGAAGGTCGGCTGAGCATGAATGTCGTCACGATAATCGCTGACTGGAACAGACGTTAGAAAAGGTAGTTGGCTACACAAAGAGGCTTGATGAGGTTGAGGAACTTATCCTTGTGAATGCAGCCGTCTCTAAGAGCATGGCTGTTCACGCTATGAAGTTCTATGGTATCCATCATGCGGAGCTGGATGAACACATAAAGCAGGCCGAGAAAGACAAGAGGCAACCTGACACATACGCCAGGGCGCAAACGCTTAAGCATTACGTACGAGACTGGGCCGACGAAGGTCTGAAGGAGAGGAACGAGGCTTTTCCATGCATCTTGAGCACTTTGAGCGACATCAAGGTGCAGTCATCAGAGACCGCATCTCTCAAAGTACTACTTCCAGGCTCTGGTGTCGGTAGGCTAGGTCATGACGTAGCTAATCTTGGTGGTACGCATGCTCAGCACAGTTCGCAGAACCACTGTTGACGTTAACGCAGGCTTCGAGGTGACGATCAATGAATGGTCAATGTTCATGAACGTTGGCTATCATTACATGGAAGCGCAAAAGGATGCGAACGCGGTTACCATACATCCTTTTATCGACAGAATGTCGCACCACGCCACGAGAGCTGATATGATACGAAGCGTTGCGGTACCCGATGTTGCGCCCAATCCTGACGTACTCCTCGTCGAGGGTGATTTCAACACCGCATTCAAAGATCAACCAGGCCACTTTGACATTATCATCACTCATTTCTTCATCGACACAGCTCGTAACCTCATGGCGTATTTTGATACCATACAAAGGCTTTTGAAGCCTGGTGGTAGGTGGATTAACTTCGGTCCACTTCTCTACGGTACTGGGCCCTTTGTGCAACTGAGCCTTTCGGAGATTATCGATGTTGTAGAGGAGATGGGTTTCGAGTTCGAAGATTTGGGTAATAAGTGCGGCGAGCTGACATTCGAAGGCAAGAAGGTTCGGAGCAAAGAAGCGGAATACGGATTCAACCAGAGAGCGTTGACGAGATATGCATACCTAGCGCAGGTGTGGATAGTGAGGAAGGCATAAGCTCTCACATCAATTCCCGCTATACCCGACATAACGCGCAAGGTAGTAAGATGCGCTATGCGGTTCACGACCGCTTTGCCTCCGGTTTTGTGTTTATCATACCTTCTTAAACACGACTGGAATTTGCTTAATCCTCCTAAAATCCAGAACGTCCTCTAGATCAGGAATAGAAACAGGTTAAAGGCCACAGTCGCAATCGTCACGCCGTTGGAGTTAACGAACGCTTATCACGTCTTGACCCACTGCGTATTTGCCCGCCCACCAGACATCGTTATAGGCAATACGTGCATCGATGATATCAGCCCGTTGTGGGACGTCTAGTTTCTTAGCCCAGGTGCCATCATCCTGGCACCAGGCTAAGTGTGTGCCCGACTGTTGGTCGGTAAGTGCGAGATAACCGACGATATCGCAGCAATCTTCGCGCCGCACAATGAGCACAAGCTGCCCATTGACAACCTCGCGGCCAACCATAGTTTGACCGTGCTCACGGTCATAAGGCATAATTGTCCACAGGGCGCATTTGCGCGGCTCATTGGTGTCAATGGAGGTTGTATTGATCGTTACGAGGATGAGTGCTTTAGACGCCAACTCCGTGGTGGGGGTGTCCCTCAGTAGCTCACCGATTTTGTCAACGATATTATAGACAGTCATCCCATCGTGCCATCCAGTGATTGTGGGGGCCCACAGTTCTAGGGTTTTTTCAATATCGTTCATCTGTGCTGCTTCCACCGACACTATGCCATCAACTTGCTGCACGAGCGCAGGGTCGCCAGCGAGCTGAACATGGGTGTTCGGCTGGCGCAAGCAGATTTTGACGTGTCGTAAAGTGTCAGCTCGTCCAGAAAACAGGGGCGTTCCGGTAAAATCAGCACCGTGCCGCGCGTTGCTTTGAGTGTGCGACGAAGCGTACTCCAAGAAATCCAGGTCAACGGAGTTCAGCAGCGAGTTGGTATTTGCCTGGAAGGTGAACAGGCGCACGTTGTTTTCTGACGCGAAGCGGATCTGAGCCAGCACCTTTTGCAATGCTACAGCATAGCTATCGTTCTTGTCGTATGCATAGCTGATGTTGCACATAGACGCCCAGCAAGCAACGCGATCAGCCTCAAAGTAAGCCTCACGTGTTGACGTCGTAAACGCATTCAACATCACACTCAGGCGGTTTTTGAAGGCAGCAGGTGAGTTGTTTGGTCGTGGTGTGCGCAGTTGAAACTGTTCATGTACAGGCGTCTTCTTCTGCAAGACTTCGGGTATTGATTGAGCAGGATTTGTCCTGAGCCCAAAGACACGGTCCCCACCAAGGGACGGAAAGAGAGTCTGGAAGGAAAGGCTGGAGTCATCCTCAAGCTTCTCGTCTGGCGACACAAATGCAAGCTCGTCGGGAAAGAGTCGCTTCACCAAGTTGAACTTGCGCGGTAACTCGCCCCGTGAGAAGCCAAGCTTTATAGCCGCGAATGCGCCTTGGCTGTGCTTGTATATGGTAGACAGAGTCACCGCATGTATTACGGAGTATTTGACGTCGTGTAGAATAGTCGAGCTGCCTTCAAGGCTAACGTCCAGCGTAACAGCCATTGCCCATTCTTGGAACGTCCAAGCACGACGAAAGTATGTCGAGGCCGGAAGGGTTTGCTCAAATTCTTCGATGAGGGAGTAGAGTTCTTGGCAGCATTTTGATAGCTGATTTCCTGGTAAAGAATCCTCGTTCTTGATAAAAGCCTCTTTATGCAGATTTATGACATCGGCCCTGTTTGCCATGGATGTGAGCAGCTCAAACGCCCCCTCATCGGACTTGGGGAAAAGCACTGCAACGGCATTGGCTTCGCCGTATAGTCGGCCCATTTGTGATATTTGCTGCTTTTTGTCGTTTTCGTCGTCTTGGTTGATTGACATAGCGTCTAGCCAGATGTGCTCGTCTGTCCTGGCGAGGCTCATTATCTCGCGAAACTTCTGGGCGTCCTGCATCGGCGTCAGGAACGAGGATTTACATTTGGCGCAATACATTTGTAGCTTGGTTGTTTGTCCCCAGACATATGAGATCGCCTTGTAACCCGCGTCGTGTTGGCGTGCGCTTGCGGATAAGCCCTTGGACCGCAATGCCCTGGGCAGTCCCACGATGATATGGACGCGTCGGCCATCCTCGCAGATGAAGGCAAATCGGTCTGAACAGCGGCGGCAGGACTGAAATGGAATGGCAGCGTTCGTCGCGGTGTTGGATATGGTAGGCCGGGCTGCCGCGGTGGTGGATCTGGGAAGCGGGGCTGTCGCAACGGAACCCACTCTGTTCGCAGCAGGGATGAAAGGCAACGCCTCGGCTTCAGCTTGAACTTTCCAACACATGTTGAAGGTGGCACACGACTGTGATTGCAAAACTTCAAAGGAAGTCCTCGTTCTTACAAGGTCGGCTCGCGACTTCTAAGGACCATTGATGAGTCTGGATCGTTCGTGTTTGTGATGGATGAGAACTAGCAGTTGCCTTGGCCCGTCGCGTTCAGCTCGACGGTACTATGCATGATCAGCCGATGAGCCGGCTCACCCGATGAGCCGCCCCACCATAATCACAAATCCATTCACCCTCCCTCCAGCCCACCATAACTCCACCAATATGGACCCAATTCAAGCTGCGATTGAAGCAATCGAATCGCGCGCTCCTGGTGCATCTTTTTCATACAGAAAAGTCGCAGAACAGTTCAATATTAGCCGCGCAACGCTATCTCGCCAGCATCAAGGAGTAACGCGCTCAAATGCAGGGGAAGCTCAACAACGCCGAAAACTCAACCAGGAACAAGAATCTGAGCTTGTAAAATATATAGAAGCTCTAACAAAGCGAGGGCTACCCCCTACAAGGGAGATAATACAAAATTTCGCTGGTATAGTGGCGAAAAAGAAGGTGGGGCACTGCTGGGTTTCAAGGTTTCTAAAAAGAAATCATGCCCACTGTGACGGGCTAGAGCCCTTTGCTCTCTTATCCTCGTCTATGACCTCGGTTTTCTCCTTCTTCGGCCCGATAGGCGCTCGGACGTTATCGGCCAATAGTTCTTCCAGCTCTACACCTAAGTATATATAGATAGCTACGTAGCCTAGAGCTTAGCTCTCTATCGAATACAACTCCAGTATACCTGTGCGATAGCTCCCTGAGCGTAGCCCCTTACACCCACCTTACATTAAAATAGACTACTAGGATAGACTAGGTACGCCACAAAGCTAATTCAAAGTACAAGTATAGCTTATACTTTAATCTGCTCTATTAAAAGATGCTGGAGTACGAAGTTGAGCTAGAGAACGAGTGTGAGGGGTAGTTATAGGCAATAGTATTTGCTTCACACTACAAGAGAATAGTGGGGGAAAGCTCTGTATTACTACACTAGGTGGGGAGGTCGTGAGAATAATTCTTGCCCCTCTGCTAACGCGCGGGGCGCAGCTTATAAGCAGGTTTGGAGGCCAAGGCGATTACGAGAAAAGCAAACATGTTGAGACCATAATCGTCCCCCTCGTTCAGCCTCTGTTATCCCGTGTTACAACGAGTATAATATAGATGAAAAGGGGTTCCTTATTAGCATTACAGGACGCTCCAAAAGAGTCTTTTCTAAGGCAATATAGGCTAGAAAAGAGGTTACTGCTGCGCTGCAAGATAGCTCTAAGGAATAGATAACAGTCCTAGCTTGTGTTAGTGCTAATAGAGTAGCAATGTAAGGGGCTACGCTCGGGGAGCTATCGCACAGGTATACTGGAGTTGTATTCGATAGAGAAGAGAACTACAGGTAGCTAGGGTTCTGAAGGTCGTTCAGGGGGCGGCGGCTCGGGATAACCTTCTGCCGGGCTCGCTTACGCAGAATCCGGGTGCTCAGGGGGGGCACCCGGAATCTGTGGACAGTGCGCCTCGCGCACGTGACCGAGATATCATCGAGGACTCACCAACTGGGCTCCAGCCCATCACAAGCCCTACCTCTAGCGCTTATTTATAAAGTGTAAGGAGTAGTTGGGTAGGCACTAAGATATCGGTATAGGCTTGTATTAAGACGAATCCTTAAGGAGCTATCAAGCCTCTTAGAGGGATGATATATACCTACGTCACGTGATTGTGGCTGGTGTGATCCGACGGTGCCCCGAAGGGTTCCCGGTAGCTTACTAGTCTGTGGCTAGAATCCTGTAGTAATAGAACATCGTAACATAAAGGGAAAACAGGGCTGCAATTAAGCTGGGTAGAGGACGTTAAGGTAGGAAAACACCTAGTTTTCTTGAGTAACTTACCTACTGTTATGGGCGGAAAGAGGCCTGCTAACGAGTATGCATTTGCTCCTATGTACAGAAGAAGAAGGATAAGGAAAAGAAGAGTAGCGTCCTCCTTGTACGGTATTTATCCTCCGTACGCTAATACAAAGATAGATAAGCGGGAAATTCTTTGGCGTAGCCTCTTGTGGTACTTAGGCGTAGCCCCTTACAGTTATCTAATTTATAGCTAGAGGGAAGCGGTTAGCGTTAGCAGTTATCTTACTATAGATCTGCTAGACAAAGCGCTAAAGGTCGTCTTAAGTTCTATTAAATTCCTTTAGGTTAGGTATTTTCTTGCTAAGGCTAGCGGTTCTAGAATGTAGGGCAGTAATAGGCGTAGGCGGTCTCGCTAGGTTATCTGTACAAGCTTTAGTAGTAGCTTAAGGGGATAGAGTAGAGGCGCAGGGGGTCTGTACAGCGGGTGTGAGGAGTAGTTGGACAGGCACTAAGATATCGGTATAGGCTTGTATTGAGACGAATCCTTAAGGAGCTATCAAGCCTCTCAGAGGGATGATATATACCTACGTCACGTGATTGTGGCTGGTGTGATCCGACGGTGCCCCGAAGGGTTCCCAGTAGCTCACCAGTCTGTGGCTGGAATCCTGTGGTGATAGAACATCGTGACAATAGCCCCCCCCCTTCTTGAGAGTCGTCCCGACTCTCACAACGGTCTTTGCAATGTCAGCGCAATACTTTTACGCTTAGAGCCCGTCCGCGCTTCACGTCACCGTGTCGCTGTCGGCGTTGGTCCGATCACTGCCCGTTGTCATCCCGCGACCCAAACGCTAGGGGCATGTAAAAAACCTCTATAAGGAAAAAATCTTACTATGCTCCGCGCACTTCGGGTTGCCATAGCCGCAGCCACATTACCTAGCTATCTCCCAGCTTCACCGCGGTGAATAATGGGGTGTTTAGCCTGTTTGTCTTGTAACTGTCCAGCACGTAGCTCAGTGTTTGCGTAGTGTTGTTAGGGTGTTGAGCGCATTTTGCTGTGTTTGCGACCCCATAGTGAGGCAAGCGGTGAGGCACCGCTGCGACTACGGAGACCCCTCGGGCATGTAAGAGCGCGAGGTGATAGGGTATAAGTTGCAGTGTTTTGGAATCTTTTCTGCATCCAACCTTCATCACAACGACAACAACAGTCTACCGCATCAACACCACAATGACCATCCACGCCAGCACCATCTCCGGCGCCGTCCCTTCGAGCAGCATCCCGTCCCACATCTATAACCTGCCTCAGCACCTGCAAGCCCAGCCTCAGCTAGTGAGGTTCGCCTGCCAGTCTTGCCTTGTGGCGCTGGTTACCGTCAGCAAGCCCGGGTCAGCGACGGGACTGTGAAGGGATTGCCCGGGCCTTCATGGAGGACGAGTTCTGCAAGCGCAACAGCTCCTATAGTGTCTGCAGTAGTTGTCGTAAGGCTCATAAGTCGGGTTGTTCTCCTGTAAGTGCTAGTTGCCATCGCAATAGTCCTTGCTAATGTCTTACAGGTTGATCCTCCCTTCCGCCGCGCCGTCAACCTGCCCATGTACCTCGTCGATTACGCTACCCGCAAGAGCATCAACGCCATAAGGGATGGTAGCTACTCGGAGGGACAAGAGCAGGAGATGTTCGACGCCGACGAGAACATCCGCGAGTACTAGAAGCGGGCCTTCGACTACGCGAAGGAGCTCCGTACCGCGTTCTCCGAACATGCCGCCCAGGTCAAGCGTGAGATTACCCGCTCCAAGATGTCCGACGTTAAGTAGGCCAAGGCGCGTCAAGTCTCCCGCACCTTCAACCTTGAGCGCTATACTGCTAGCTTAGGTTCTCAGGGTTTAAACGCGCCTTCTAATGTTGTGGTGGACGCTAGCCTTGAGAGGGCTTCATTCTCCAAGGATGGTACCGCGTCAGAACAAGAGAAGCGCTGGTACTACTATGGTCGTGAGGTTCCGGGCGGTCATAAGGTTCAGGCGCCATATCTGAATGTGAGTGAGGCCGGCAGCTCCCCGACTAAGCGCCGTTACAACTCCAAACGTCGTTCCTCTAATACCCTGATGGGAGGAGCTAGTAACTTCCCCGAGGGTAACTGAGGTCTCTAGTAGTTCTTCTGCGGTTCGTAGTGTATTTGTAGAATGACATCTTCTTCTAAGAACTTAGTTTTGTTGTCCTAGTAATGCTTTCTACTTTGCGCATAACATAGGGTTGCTCACAGCTTCCCCTTGCGTCCCCTCCCTCTCTCAGACCCTCAGGTCTGGCGACGAGTTGTTGGCGTGGCCATGGGCCGTCCTTAGGCCGTACGGCTCCCGCCGCGTGCCCGTGATACGTCCCTTGGGTTGGCCATGTATTCTGCGAGGATTTGCTCGCAGTTGTCCAAGTGGTCTTCCGGTTCCCAGGTGCAATCCTAGGTTAGCCATCCCAGCCACTTGACCTTGTATTCCCAGCCTCTTGCCGTAGTCTCCCTGTGTTCCAGGATGCCTTCTACCTCGTATCTGTCTCCTGCGGAGACATCTTCTAGTATCTAGATCGGTCCTAGTTTAAACTTAGTAAACTCAAAGGGTTCGTTCCAGGGTTCTAGGAGTGCGATGTTGAAGACGGGGTGTATACGGGCCATCGACGGAGGGAGGTCGAGCCTGTATGCCAGCTTACCGATCTTCTTAGTGACCGTGAATAGTCCCAGGTACCTAGCATCCATCTTCTTAGAGGGTCAGCTCGTGGTAATGTTCTTTAATCGAAGCAAGACTGAGTCGCCTTCCGCGAAGTAGAGCGGTAGTCTAGACGTGTTGTACCATTTCGCGTTCGTACGCTAGGCTTTTTCCAAACTAGATTTAGCTGCGCTGCTTATGTCCGCCCACTCAGTAAGTCAGTAGCTAACCTGCCGTCGCAGTTCCAGTGTTAGCCCGCCTTCTGCCCATAATGTAGGTGGTTTTCGCAACCAATGCTCATCAGGTACTCCATCAAACCCCTTAGGGTTTGTTCCGAAGGCTACTCTTATGGGCGATTGCCCGTGTGCAGAGTGTTCCTTCGAGTTGTATGCGTACTCCGCGTAGGGCAGCAGGCCGACCCAGTCGTCCTGCCAGTATCCCATGTA